AAAACTTCCCAAGTTTACCTCATCCATATTTGCTTGCGTTGCAAAATTTTTTCCTTCATTTATTAAATGTTTTGATGGCTTAACATATGATCATATGCCATGCTTTGTAATGGACACTAGATATATTCTTCAAGGGGTTTAAAATTTCCTGGGAACAGAGACTTGTGCATGGAAACAGAGACTTGTAATAAAGTGTTATTGTGATAGTTGTTATAATAAAGATGTGCAAAGATGTATGATAACAAAGGAAGGACACCTAACTCTCACAGTTGGAGGAGGGTGAGAGTATGACAATGAAGGTGGTTGGGGGTGATGGGAAGAAGTCAGAGTAATGCACATGGAGGAGGGAATGTTTGTCATAAACGATAAGTAAGACCCTAGCCACCAAGAGTGTGGGAGGGGCCAACTCTTTCAGAAGAGGGCACACTTGTGATGTAACATGAGCCAGCATGGACACTCAGGAACTACACATTGCTGAGCGTGATAGGAGCCTAGACAGCATGAGGAGGAGTTGGTGGGAGAGATGCTGATTAGGTAAGCAGGTACCGGGTCCTGAACGGCTTTCCATGTCACAGTAGAGAGTTAATATTTAATTCTATAGCACTAAAGATTTTAGATTAGGGCAGGACATGATTAGATCGATGTCATTTTAAAGAACACCAGGCAGAGTTGGTTAACTATAGGATTGGCCTGTCTTGGATCCTGCTTCGGGTTTTCCTAAATTCTTTCAAACAAGCAGCATCTGGTCTCAGCTAGCCCCATACCTCTCATTAAGTAATACACAGAAACAAACACAGGGAGGCAGCCAAAATGAGGAGACAAAGAAACAGGTCCCAAATGAAAGAACAGAATAAAACCCCAGGAAAAGAACTAAGCGAAATGGAGATAAGCAACCTAACAGATGCTGAGTTCAAAACACTGCTTATAAGGATGCTCAATGGACTTAGTGAGAACCTCAGCAAACTTAGTGAGGGCCTCAAGAGCATAAAATCGGACCAGTCAGAAATGAAGGAGGCACTAACTGAAATAAAGAATAATTTACATAGATTCAATAGTAGAGTAGGTAAAGCCAAGAAGCAAATCATCGATTTGGAATATAAGGAAGCAAAAAACACCCAATCAGAATAGCAAAAAGAAAAAAGAATCCAAAAAAATGAGGATAGTGGAAGGAGCCTCTGGGACAACTTCAAGCATACCAACATTCAAATCTTGGGGATGCCAGAAGGAGAAGAGAGAGAACAAGAAATTGAAAACCTATTTGAAACAGTAGTGGCAGAAAACTTCCCTAACTTGGTGAAGAAAACAGACATACAAGTCCAGGAAGCACAGATGAACCCCAAGAGGCCCACACCAAGACACATCATCATCAAAATGCAAAAGATTCAAGACAAAGAGAGAATCTTAAAAGCAGCAAGAGAAAAGCAGTTAGTTACCTACAAGGGAGTTCCCAAAGGACTGTCAGCTGATTTCTCCAAAGAAACTTTGCAGGCCAGAAGGGAGTGGCAAGAAATATTCAGGGTGATGAAATGCAAGAACCTACAACCAAGATTACTCTATCCTGCAAAGCTGTCATTTAGAACTGATGGCCATATAGCGTTTCCCAGACAATGAAAAACTAAAGGAGTTCATCACCACCAAACTGTTATTATATGAAATGTTGAAGGGTCTTGAAGAAAAAGATAAAAAATATGAACAAACAAAATGGCAATGAATAAATATCTATCGACAATTGAATCTACAAATAAAATGAACAAGCAGAACAGAAACATTCCCATAGACACAGAGAATATTTTGTTGGTTGCCAGATGGAAGGGGGGTTGGGGGAATGGGTGAAAAAGGTGAAGGGATTAAGAAGTACAACTAGGTTGCTAGACTGAGAAACCTCAAAGAGAAGGGGGGTTGGGGGGTGGGAAGAAATAAACCAAAGAACTTATATGCATAACCAATGGACACGGAGGACAGTGTGGGAAAAGGCAGGAGGGGAGCGGGAGGAGGGAGGAGGGGGTCAATGGGGGAAAAATGAGGAACATCTGTAATACATTTAACAATAAAAATAAAACAAAAGAACACCAGGCAGGTCACCCGTATAATATGATCTGTGAATTAAAGGAAATGAGAATAGAGGGTGCATGACCAATGGAGAGGCTATTCCTTGTCACATAAGTAAGAAAAAAACATGAAATCCTGATATGAGGCATGGCCTTAGACCTAGGGAATAAGGGGCATTTTTGAGAGGGTTGCAAAGTAGGTATTGAGCACGTGGCACTTTGAGTGTGAGAACCTCAGGACTTGATGACCAGCCGCATGTGGCGGGCAGCGGAGGAGCTAAGGCTCAGCCCCCAGTCTGAGGGACTGAGCAGAAATTGGTGTTATTCACAGGAGGAGCAGATGGAGAATTGATTCAGCAGAGGGGACGGGTTCCCTTAGGGACCTATCACCATGGAACACCTATGGGATATATAAACGGAATGCAGAGTAGGCATTTGGCTTCTGTATCAGGAACACATTAGAGAATTTTGTGCTAGGAAGTGAACCTGTTCATCCCTCTGTAGAAGTCAGTTGAAGCGCTGATATGCATGAAATCAACCGGGAAAGTGCTGAGGGTTAGCATGAAGAGAATCCAGCACGTACTAGAAACGTGGAGAAGGGTAGCCCCAGAAAATGATTTTGAAGGAGTTGTCATTTAGAGAGTTGGCTAAAACCCAGGAGAAAGTGGTGGCATAGAACCCATATCAGAGCTTACAAAATATTTTGTAAAATTTAAGTGGTGTTGGACATGGTTAGAGAAAATGTGCTTTTTAAAATTTATTTATTTATTTTTATTAAGTGGAGTCCAGAGCAGGTGCCCCTCAGGGCGGACTGCCTTCTTTTGGAGAAAACTGCCTGCATGAGGTCAGGAGAGAGTGTCCTTGCATCTCTGGGGCCTAGTTCTTGGAGGCCTCGTACTTCACATTCCAGTTGTGACTGCTTTTAGTTTGAACGGGGACAAAGATTCTCCTCCGTTTTTTCCCTTCTCTTTCTTTTTAGAGGAAAGGATTTAGGTAGAAATGAGTTTTCTTTGCAATATTTAAACAGAGGTACCATATTTTCTTTAAACATTGTAGTTAACTAGAGAACAACATCTACAGCAACCATTTCTATTTTTTAATTTAACCCTGAGTTTTTCATGCATTTTTGACTATGGGTTTCATTAGCGCAGAAGCAAGACGTATGCATCTTAATGTCCTCAGGGTCCAACTCAGACTCCTGGCTTAGGAAGTTCTCAGCAAATATTTATTTTTTGTCTTTCTTGTTTATGGTTCCATAGCTTCATTTTTTTTTTTTTTTTTTTTTTTTTTTTTTAGGGCTTCCAAGTTCTTTAGAATCTTCTTACTTCTCAACATCTCATGTCATTGAATTATGCCAATTCATCTTCTGAATTTTATTAACACTACTCTTTTGATCTGTCTAAAGTTCAATATCTTTTTTCTTCGCAAGTGTTCAAGTGAAATGAGAATTTATTGTAAGGCTTCATTTATGCCACAACATTTGAGAGTGGACATTGAAGGAGCCAGGCTTAAGGACACCCAGGTGAAACAAAGCTGCCAGGGGGCTTCGGCTACTCTTCACTCCCATACGGTCTCCGAGTTCTACTTCTCTTTGTTTTCTTTCTTTCAAGTTTTTAGTTTGAAAAAATTTTAAATATATAGAGTATAGTAAAACCAAATGCATTTTTAGCCTTTTTACTTTAACTGTCAAGAACTTTACGCTGCCGTAATTTAGTTTTATTAATGTTCCATCTGTTCCATTACCCAAACCAGTTCCTTCGTGTTCGTCAGAATTAAGCTCAGAGTAAGTTGTGATAGATTCCTTGCATCCCTTCTGGGAGACAGAATTAGCCCCGAGGACATCATGGACTCCAGAGACTTGGAGGTGGTGATCAGACGAGAGGCTTCCTGGATCACTGTTCTCTCTTCCCTCCTTGTCTCAGGAAGGCATTTATTTGTTTATTTAATTCAAGATGGGAAACTTCTTTTTTAAAGAAATTTTTAATTGAGTTTTTTAGAGTGAGAACAGAGAGAGAGATAGAAACATCGATCAGCTGCCTCCTGCAAGCCCCCTACTGGGAATCGAGCCTGCAACCTGGGCAGGTATCCTGCCCAGGAATTTAACCAGGACCTCTCAGTCCGTGGGACGACGCTCAATCCACTGAGCCACACTGGCGAGGCAGGAATGTATTTATCTTATCTTCCCAGGTGGCTTATTATATGCTTCCAATAAAGTAACTATGGGACCTTCATTGATTGAAGAAAGTCTGTGCTACATTTCCTTTTGGATAATGTTATATTTGGAATTTTAAGCTTCTCAACAAAATATGATTTGTTTTGCTGCTCTTCCCTTCTGCTATTCTTTCCTATGACTATTGCTGGGAGATGATAGGATTTGGTAGGTTATGTACCCATTCAAGGTTTAACTCTTCACTTTCTCAGAGCTCTACAAATGGGTGCTTTTCAAGACTGTGGTGGGAAATAGCGGAACCAACAATGGTGTTTGCCTGTTCTCCCCATACACAGAATAGTCCCTGATTGCTTGCCTGTAAGATCCGGGTTCCCTTTCAGACATTTTGCTGTTTATAACTATTATAAAGGAAGAAATAAAAATAAGTCTTTTTTAAAAAAAGCTTAATAGGAGAAGAAACAGAGTCTGAACTCATCACCCTATTTCTATACTCTGTGTACATTGCAGTTGAGTGTTTTTCTCTGTGCTATTTATACTGCACTTATGAAAATAAATCGGGTCTTCCTTAGCTAGGGACATGCTTTGTGTAATAATTCACAAATACTTTATTTCTGAGTGGGGAGGAAATCAATGCATTAAAAACAGTTGCTTTATAATTTCAGCTTTGTTGTTGACAGAGTCAGAGCTATCTTATGATTATGCTCTCAGTATGATCAAGTTTATGAAGGTGAGCCACTGTTTCCTTTTCTGAAAGTGGGTGTCATTTCTTTTCTTTCACTCAGGGAATCAGCAGTCTCTTCAGTTCTTTAAAAGTGGTGCGTCTCTTGCGACTGGGCCGTGTTGCTAGGAAACTGGACCATTACCTGGAGTATGGAGCAGCGGTCCTCGTGCTCCTGGTATGTGTGTTTGGACTAGTTGCCCACTGGCTGGCCTGCATATGGTACAGCATTGGGGACTACGAGGTCATTGACGAAGTCACGAACACCATCCAGATAGACAGCTGGCTCTACCAGCTGGCCTTGAGCATTGGGACTCCCTATCGATACAACAGCAGCGCAGGGATCTGGGAAGGAGGACCCAGCAAGGATTCACTGTACGTGTCCTCTCTCTACTTTACCATGACAAGCCTTACAACCATCGGATTTGGAAACATAGCTCCTACCACAGATGTGGAAAAGATGTTTTCGGTGGCCATGATGATGGTTGGCTGTAAGTATCTGGCTTTCTTTAAAAGAATTAAAAATATATATATATTGTTATTGGCAGTTTTCCAGGCTCCAAGCGCAGGCAGGATTAAAATTAAACTGCTTTGTTTTCAGAAAGACGTTTTAATCCATATCATTTGCATTGGTTTAATTTTTATCCATTATTAGAAAATAAAAAATGCAAAATAATATATCTTACTTTTTAGAATACATTGACACCTTCAAGCAGCGTGGACAGAGCGATACAGACATTAAAGTGGAAGCTGTGATTTAATTCTGTTCATATGTTGTACGCAGCAGAGTTCTTTCCAAGGGAGACCAGCATCTAGACAGGCAGCATCTGGCACATTCTGTAGGTCTTGTTGGCAACACATAAAATTCCCGAAAAGTAGACAGGATCTGTTGTGCGATACATAGTTTAGAAAATGTTTTATCTACTAACAGAATTACTGAATTAAAGTTGATTTCAGGATACAGTTTTATGCAGGTTTTACAATGAAGACTAGTGCAAAAGGTTTACAAATCTAATTTCCACTACAAACGCTCGAGGTTGGATATGTGCCTGTTTGAGAGAATGTAAGGATTGTAAATATATACCTATTCAGCAAGGATAAGAGTAGCTAGGATTTAGCATGCGGTCCTGGTACTAAATGCCTTGAGGGTGTTCTTGGGAGTAGAATGCTCTCCAAAGGAGCCAAAGACCATGTATTCTACACTCAAAGAGAATGGATAACACCAGAAGACCAGAACACTAAGGAAATACATACCAAAGAAGCTATTGTAAAAGAGGATCATAGATAGTAGTCTCCACTGTTCACACCTTCAAGTTGACTTAGATGATTTATCCAAGTCTCGTTTTGATACCTAAAGTAACCTTAAGACCATTGTGCTGGAGTTTCACTTAGTGTTATTGGCAGCTGTTAAGTGTTTGGATCATGGTCATTGGCTTTTGGTCTAAGCCATCCTTTTTAACATTCCACATTGTGGAGTTTTACATTTTGATATTGATGGGAAAGATGTTAGAATCCAGGAGTGTCGGCTGGCCCATGAAGGGTCAATATCTTGGGTTTAGACCCAAGATAGTAGTTTTCAGAGTTCCGGATGTCTGAGAGCTATTGGAGTGCCTGTGTTAGTAGTTATTTAGCTTATGTGCCTCTATCCCTTTTGTACAGGTGCAGAAACAAGAACTCACAGGTTCTATTTGCTGGTTAAAGGTAGAGGGAGAGTGCGGATTCCAAGTGTTGTTTGCTCCAGAGGTTTTTAGGAGAAAAAATGTTCTTACATACAAAGAGATCCTGATGATTAATTAAACTGTTTACCTACATACCAAAATGGTAAGATGTATTGGCAAAAAGGTGCTTTATAAATTCAGAAGACAACATGTTGTCGGATGTAGTATTTATCGCTAGACTACTTTTAATATGTATATAATTTATTTTGCCTTACACATGAGCATAGATGGATTTTTAATAATTTATTTCAAGCAATTATATAGTCACTGTAAGTTGCAAAGACAGTACAGAAAGGGCTTTTGTGTTCTTCACCTGGTTTCCTCCAATAGTTACATCTAAATCTCTCCTCCCAGACCCACGCTGGCATGGTGTGACGGGTGCGTGTAGTTCTGCAGTGGTCAATCACATGGACACATTCCTGTCACTACCACTGAAATCAAGACGTAGAATAGTTCCATCACCACAAAGCTGTCCCTCAGGTTCCGATCTAGAGTCACACCCGCCCCTTCCCCCAAGCAGCCGCAGCCCCTGGCAACTATTGATCTTGTTCTTCATCGCTACACTACAATATTTTGATTTGGGGAATGTTATATAAATGGAATCATACAAAATGTGACCTTTTAAAATTGGCTTTTTCCAGTCAGCATAATCCCCTTGAGATCCATCTAAGATGCTGAGTATATCAATAGTTTGTTCCTTGTTATTTTTGAGTAGTATTTCATGGTTTGGATATACCACTCATCTATTCAGGGACATTTTGGTTGTTCTCAGTTTTGGGCTATTACAAATAAAGCTGCTATGCGCATTGGTGTACAGTTTTCTGTTTGGACATGAGTTCTCAGTTCTCTGGGATAAATACCCAGGAATGTGATTGCTAGGACATATGCTACGTGCATATTCAATGTTTATTTTAAGAAATTGGCAAACTATTTTGCAGAGTTACATGTAACTATGTAACTATACTAGCATAGTTACATTTTTCACAAGAGAATAATAGGAAAATAAAGTCTACGTAGAGCTGAAGGGCACCATTATTCATTTTGTTTCTCTGGCCCCAAACCTGGGAATCATCCTAGATATCTGTTTTTCTCAGGTGTTTCATCTATTCATAACAAGCTCTGTTGGCTTTTCCTTCAGAATACATTTGATTATTTCTCCCCACTCCCATAACTTACCACCTAAGACCAAGTCACCACCATCACCTGGATGTTTTCAGTAATCACCTACATGTCCCTCTGTTTTTACTCTTGTGCTACAATCTCTATCTTGAGCGGCCCTTTTAAAGTGAATTAGATCCCATCATTCCTCTGCTCAAAGCCCTCCCGTGTTTTCCAGTGCACATAAAGTGAAATTGAGATTCCCTGTTCCTTCTTTTTTTTTTAAAAATGTTTTCTTTATTGAGTTTGAGAGAGAGAGGAAGGGAGAGGGAGAGAGAGATAGAAACACTGATGAGAGAGAACATGGACTGGCCACCTCCTGCGTGCCCCCCACTGGGGATTGGGCCCACAACCCGGGCATGTGCCCTGACCAAGAATCGAACCAGTGACCTCTTGGTGCATGGGTTGATGCTCAAGCAGTGAGCCTCACCGGCCGGGTCCCTGTCCCTTCTATTAAAGCCTGCATGGTCTGACCCTGGCTGGCCTCGCCCCCTTCACTTTCTCCCATTCCCACCCTTGCCCATTCTACTCCACCCAAGAGAGCTGTCTTGCTGCCTGTACACATCAAACTGAGTCCTGTCTCATGGTCTTTGCATCTGTTTTCCCCACTGGTTATAACACTCCTCCCCTGTATCATGTCCTGAATTCATACAGGTCTACACTCAAATTTTCTCTTTAGAAATTTCTCCCAGTGCTACTCTACTATGAAAACCACCCCAATGCCAACCATCCTTGTTCTCTACCCTTTAACCTTTAAAAAAATGTTTTTATTGATTTTAGAGAAAGAAGAAGGGGGAGTGAGAGAGAAATATCCATTGGCTGCCTCCACCCCCTCACCCCCACTGGGGATAAAGCCCACAAACCGGGCTTGTGCCCAGACCTGGAATCAAACCAGCAACCTTTTGGACCAATACTCAAACAACTGAGCCGCAACGGCCAGGGCAACCCTGCCCCCCCTTTAACCTTTTCTGCTTCATTGTACCGACCACGTTGATTCTCTTTTTCCTTTTTGTCAGTATGTAAGCTCCATGAGAGCAGGGCCTTTCTCTACCTATATTTTGCTTTTGTACACCCAACTGGTACACAGTTTTAAATACCATGCTCAGCTAGATTTGTTGTATAAATGAATAAAAGTGAAGATGTCTCTGATGGTCATAGTGAAGTTCTCCTGTCCGTGAATCCACTCCAGGTAGGTCTCTGATGAAGAGACATGCCAGGAAAAGGCAGTCTTTGAATTTTGGCCCCGATTCCTTTGTGAAGGCCTGTGAGCTCCTCTGTGTTGTCAGCCTGTGGAGAGTAGTGGCCCCTGTAGCCAGACTGCCCCTTCCCTAAGCCTCTCACTAGGTCTGGTGATAAGTTCTAAGAGGCTGGTCGGTAGAAGCACCAACAACTCTTTCACCACTTTTTACCATTTACGTCCTGGATCTACCTACATTGGCCATTTTCCCATGGATTCAGTGGAGTTTTCAAAATTTCATTTGACTCAGACTTGGTTCCATTCCTTCTCAATGTCACGTGTGGCCAATTATATTGCTCTATGTAAGTTTTCTTCTTGTTTCTTCGATTCCTATCTTGATTTCAAGATGAAGATCTGGTTTTAAAGTTGGTCCTTTTTATTTTCTGAGTTTTCGCTATTTCCTTAACATCTGAGCAGTTGCTTTCTGTTTATAAACCAATTTCTGACATCTTTTGCCTGTTGATTTAGGTTTTCTTTTTATGTCTCAATAAATTTCAGTCTCTATAGCCAGAGTGTTCCTAGGAGATGCCTTTTAATTTCCTTCTTTGACCAGGGTTGTTAGCAATTTTATGGCATGTTTCCTTTGCGACAGCCTACGAGGATAATAGAAAACTGCCAAGACCCATGAAGTGTTACAGTAACTACCCACAATTCCAAAATTTATTAGATACACAGATTATCAACCAAATGTGCTGTTGCAGATGTTTGCAATCTTAGTATAATTTTAGGTTGATGCTCCCAGTTGTGCTAGGATTCTAGTGCACCATTAGCTGGCTGTTTGAGAAGCACCACTTGTAACCTTATAACGTAGTAACTGAGAAAAACAATGTTTTATCGAAAGGTTGTTGGAGATACCAACCATCTTTATTCTGTTGAGAAAAACGATCACTGCTTGTAAATGATAACCTCTGTTTCTGAAGAAAGTTGTCTGAAGTTTTGTGCCTTCCAGAGCTATTTAGAAATTTCACGGGCAGCACTTTCATTCCTAGGTCCTTTCCGACAAACCTTCAAGTAGAACGTATGACTGTGCCTCCCTTCAGTTCTGGTCACCGTGTGTTTCCTTTGGACCCCTTCTTCGTCAGCAGGATGCCAGGCTGTTTCCCTTACCTGCTACCCAGGAATCTTTTGGGCGAAATCCTTTGTTCCTACATTTGCCCAAGGTGGAGGGTCCTCCTGCTCAGGTTCCAGAACTGGAAGGCTGTCGAGATCTTCTCAGTATGTGTCTGCGCCATGTGTTCTTGACCTCAGGTTGACCTTCCCGCAGCCTTCGCATGCTCTGTGCTCGGCTGAGTGCACGGCTCCGGCCGCAGCCACTGCTGTGCGGGACGCCAGCCCCCTTTCCCTGTGTCTGTCCCTTGCGACTGAGCCCAGCCCCTCT